TCAATAAATAACGCATAATGGGTAAGAGATAGTATGCCCGGCCGGAGGACAGAACGGGCGTTTCGTCTCCCTAGCAAGTTGGGCGTTTTACGGGCGGTGGAGTCGGGCGGGAGGGTTCGGAAGTTTTCGGGCCTTCTTCCCCCTTAACACGTAAAACATGGGCGTTAATATAACGTTAAGTTGTCGTTCTCGTATTTTACGTCATTGTCCCCGCGTCAGGGAAGTAGGAAGTTGGGACTTGTTACGTCTGGGGACGATGAACGTAAAATGTTACGCACTGATCGGTTCGTGGCAAAAGAGGGGAGGGTGTGTCACGTTGTGTGGAGACGCGTTGCTTGGTGGTATTTAATGGCCTGATAAGATCTCGATGTTCGTCTCAGGTTTTATGTGAATAAAATTTTGTTTTATGAGCGTTCTTATGAACAAGTCGAATAGAGGACGCAACAAAACAATATAAAAATTTCATCGTCACAACTTGAAAATTAATTTTATTTTCGTGGCACAGTACATTGGTTATTAATGCTATTATAATAATATGTGTAGAGATCTCTCTAATCTCGTGCTGGTTATATGCTACGTTTGTTGTGGCATCATTTGGCGGAGTTTGTGGTAAGTTTCCTCATGCATTGTCAAAGTAAAAGCTTACGTTCTATAAAACAATGAAAAATAAGTCAGTTTTCTTTATAAGATACCAGCAAAAGTGGCTCATTGCATCAGCTGATGTCACTGCAGTGCCTCTGACTGGGAGATCCGCGGGTTTGACTCCCGTCATTGGCAGGATTTTCGACATTAGAGACCATATTGATAAAAGTTGAATAATTACTGCGGGTATAATTAAAGCGATTTCTACATCGAAAAATTAGAAAAATAACTGCAATTAAAAAGAATCGTAGGGAAAATGGTAAGCGTGCGGATCTTTTTGGATCAAATCCGCATTCAAATGGTGAGGTTTTTTCTCGATCTAATATAGTTTTTTTTGATAATATTATTGATAATAATATTAGGATATTTGCTAAAATTAAGGTAAATATGATAATAGTAATAATAATAATAATAATAATAATAATAATAGACGTAATTAAGATTACTTATTCGGGTCGGCGCCGGATCTCGCCATCCATGGGAGGGAGTGTACACTGCCACATCCCGCGGTAAAAAATAAGCCTCGTACTACGGGAAAAATGACCTTAGCATCTGACGTGCCCGGAATCACTAATCAATCAATAAAAAAATTCATTGTAAAACAATGAAAAGTATGTTACATGTCTCGAAGAAGCGTTGTTCTTTCCATTCCGCCGAATTGAAGAGTTACATTTTTCATGCCGGTGATCGTGAGCGCCACTTCCACCTTGTCACGCATGGAGTAAACGCGTACAACCAGGACACACCCTCTCCCCCCCCTCTCTCTCTCTCTCCCAATCGCAGTCGCGCGTGAGGTCGACGATGGACCGCGAGATCTCGGCGGGGCGCCGGGCCACGTCGGAGGCAGGAGGTGGGAGGGGGGAGGTTGACCCCGGCGCGCGCAGCTGCCGCCCAGCATCCGCCACCTGGCGCCCACAAAAAGCCGCCTCGAAATCTCGGCCTGCGGGCGGGCGGGCGAGCGCCGCCGCTGCCACCTGCCGCCGCACCTGCCGCCCGCCAGACACGCGACGCCGACGACGTCAGCGCTGGCTCCTGCGCCGCTGCCGCTGCCCGGCGCGCCTGCCTACGCTCGCCTACCTACGCTCGCCCGGTGCGAGGTGCGGGCACGATGCTTGTGTTTACGAAGGCGGTGGTGGAGGTACTCGTGGGTTTTTGCATCTCGAAGCATTACAGCAATCGGCAGCACAATCGATCTTCTGCGCACGCGCGCTTTGATCTGATTGAGTGATTGATTGTTGCTGATTCAGGGCGCGTCAAATGCTAAGGTCATTACCCTGAGGAAGCCTGCGATATGACAGGCGAAACTTCGGCTTCTCAGCCAACGACGCGGCGTCACCCAGACAGCCAAGAAGTCATGAACTGGAGCTGCAGATGCTTACATGTACAAATGCTAAGGTCATTAGTCCCGTAAATGTAGTGCACGTTTTTCCGCTGGAGTTGGCGGTGGTGTTCTGGCTGGCGAGATCCGGCACCGACGTACCGTCCGGCTAGCGGATTTTTTCTGAATCAGATTTCTTCCAGCGATCACCGCCCCAGCTGGGACAAGCCCTAAGCTCCCGATCGGTCTCCTGGCCTGTGTGATAGTGTAGTGCATGTTAATGAAAGTGTATATAAGTAAAGGGTGAGGATAGGAGAAAGAAGGGGGAGGAAAGATCACGCGCGGCCTTTGGCCCGTTTCTTGGGGTACTGCTTCGGCGTTCGGTTGGTGTTGACCGGAGAAATCACAGAAAACTACGAGTATTCACAGCTAGTACTACTCCGTACCACAGCAGCAGCTCGCTAGAATTCTCCTCCAGACAGCGACTACGAGCAGTTTGAATTTCGTATCACTTTTGTGCATCTAGGCATTCGCAGAAGTTTGCTGTGACGCTTCGGGGTGCAAAAACTTCCTACTGCCGGATTTCGCAGGTGTTGAAGAATGGTTATTGTTGATAGTCTTCGGCACTTGTCACACTATACCTTCCACAACTTTTGGCTTTGCTCCTTGGTGCGATGCGGTGTAGTGCTAGAACAATTCATTGAAAGCTGAAGCCACTTCAGGCTTAGGTTATGCAGGTTATTTGTTTTATCGCATTTTATTGAAATATTGCATATACACTTATTATTTTCATCCATATTTCAACTATTTGGTTTTGTAAATTTTATCTTCTTAGTGAAGCTCGTCAGGAAGACAATTATTACAATTTACATTCCGTTTATTTCTCATTGTTTATAATAATGGTTTTTATAAAAATAATGGTCTTGTGACTGAAATGCCTCAAAACTGCTTCAAAAGTAGGTGCAGCATACATTATATTTAATGAAATAGAATGAAATAACTACATTTTATTGCTTTAATACTTGCTATTGGTATTATATTTGTATTTTGTATTGGGTTACGTTTTATTTATATAATTGCGTTCCATTATATTATTTGTCACAGAATTATACTCAATTGTAGGTTGAATTAATGTAAACTAATTTAACAACCGCCGTGTACCCATGAAGGGGTATTAGTTCCGAAGGCTTCGGCTGTCCGGGAAGAGTTCCATCTGTGCTGTCTGGGCTGACATTTTAGCCACCATACGGCTTTCTTTGAGCTCTACTGCTGATCTATCTTTTGAACAGAATACATAACTCAAACAAGGCCTCGACATGATGGTCGCAACATAAGCCGAATGGCACAGACGCGGCTTGTTCCAAAGATCCGACAGCCATCGGCTTTGCTTTAGCCTCCGCGATAGCTCGACTGCATTTGCGTGCGACAGCATTATCTCTGCCTCTGCCAGCACAGCGTCTGCTGTCTTCGTCGGCGTTGGTGCTAGGTTCGCTGTCGTTAACTCCGATAACCCAGCCTTTAACAGCTACTGCATTCACTAACAGTGGACGTGGCTTGTCCCCTCCGCCCGCGCCGCCTCCGCCAACGCACCGTTTAAAATGCTTCCCCATTCTCCAACAACGGGTTCTCCTTTGGCTTCGCCAAAATCTCATCTAGTACCAGGAATCATCCTCAGGTCATTTGCTTCAGACAAAATAGCCAATACTTTTTTCTACGTCAACATCGTTTCTCTGTTCGCCTTCGCCGGCATTTCTTTCTTCGTCTTTGCAAACGCAGCTTCATCCGATATTGTACGCGTAGCCTTCCGCGGCTCGAGTTCATGACGTCTTGGCTGTCCGGGTGACATCGCGTCGTTGGCTGACAGGCCGCGAGTATGCCTCTCAGCCAACGACGCGATGTCACCCGGAAAGACAAGAAATCACTTCATTGGACATTGTCTCTTCGTTTGTCTCGAAAAGAATCGCTTTAGATTTGGCACCAGTTCCTCCATCAATTCTACTCCTGTTGGTGTTGAAAACAAGGCAGTCCCGCTTGCTACAATCGAAGATTTGGTAAGACAGGTAGGAGGTAGACTTGTGATTTCGAAGCTAATGGTGAATTTAACGACAGAATTGACAAGGCTTGTGGCAATCGACATCCTTGATTCTCTTGGGCATTTATCACATAAATCTTCTACTTCTTTGTCACCACTTTATTTATCACACTTTTTCCTCTTCATTGCCTCTGCACCTGTGTCTTTGTAGCCATCTGCATGCACAGCGTTAGGTTTTGCATGGAGCTGCTCCACAGCCACCTGTTTCTGCTTCTCCAAAGCCACCATCTCCTTCTTGGCCATCGCCGACATTACCGCCTCCCTCGCTTCTTGCGCCTTAGTCGCACCCGCCATCCACTCAGCTGTCTTCTTTCCCGATCGGCTCCGCCTCACATCCCCTTCACGTATGTCTTACAACTACCTCACTTACACATCCCTTCCCCTCATGTCCTCCTCACCTTCATTTCATCACCACTTCACCTCCATTTCACCTTCATCTCTCGTATATCTCATCTCTATATCGTCTCAATCTCTCCTCTACCTCCATCTCCTGTTCACCTCCGTCTCTCATCTATCTCATCTCTTCATTACCTCCCTCCCGCCTCTACATCCACCTCATTTCCGCCTCCTGTTCACCTCCACTTCCACCTCATCTCCACTTCACCTCCACCTCGTCACCACTTCCCTCCCACCTCGCCTGCACCTCACCTCCACCTTGCCTCAATTTCACCACCTCTACCATCAAGTCTACCTCACTCCCCCCTTACTCCATCAGTACTACCACCATCTCCATCACTACCACCATATCCACTTCACTTCCACCAGCTGTGTTATTATCACCACGTTCATCTCACCCCCACATCAACTCTTCTGCCTCTTCACACCGTGAACCCCACCAAAACATCTCCACTGTTTCATCATCACCTCCACCTCCACATCACCTCCTCCGCCGCGGCGCGAGCCCCGAGCACGAGCCGCGCAATTAGACCTGTGCAGTGAAGCTGCAGCGGGAGCGGCGCGGCGGCGGCGGCGGGAGCGGCTCCGGCGCGGGCCGGGGGCTGCGGCGGCGGCGGCGGAGGTGGAGGTTGGGAGCGGAGGTGGGGGCGAGAGGCGGCGGTAGTGGGGGGTTCCCGCTCTGTTGTGGCGCGGGCCGGCGCGGGCAGTAGTGTTTTGAACGCCGGTGGTTGCGGGCGCGTCGAAAGTGGAGTGCCGGGTGTTGGTTACGTTAACGAGATTTGCGACTGTGATAAAGTGTTGTGCGTACACACGTTTCTGGATAATTCGCAAATACAGCAGCGGTGAGTCTCACCTCTACCTTTTGTAGTGAATATTTGTGAATGCTTTGTTTGTGAATGGTGGTTCATCGTTGTGCTAATGTTGTGACGTTCGATAGTGTGTTTGTCGTTAGAAGCGATAACGGAATCATTGCCGTAACGTCGTGTTTTTGACAAGTCGATTACAGTGGGAGTGTGTGCTGAATTTTAAGAAGGTCGGCGATTGCGCTTCTGTTTATTGGTATTGGATACCGTAAGTGTAGTCATTACCTTTGTCTTTGAGGAGTGAAGTGCCTGTAAGAGTTAAATGAATGTGTGCCGAATTTTGTGACGGTTCCTGTAACACCAAATGTGCCTTAAGGTGAAGATGTGTTTTCCTCTAGCATTCACCATACGACTTGTAATGATGTCGCGTATTTCTCTTTGGGTAGATCTATATTGACGGAAGTGTCTTCAAAAATGGTATCTATGATGTGGGCATGATAGTGTATCCAGTTACCTAGGGAACAGACTATTAACCAATTTCTTCGCAGTCATTATTTTTAAGATGTGAATGGTCTGGGGAAATCGATTTTATGAAGGTGGTGCAGGTGAGAAAATAAAAAGGGAATTCCGGAGGTAAGGAAGATCGTGCAATATATTGACGCAAAATAAGCAACGTTTTCTTCTGTACGAGTTGTAGAGAAAACTGTGATTTCTATCTAGTCGCTTGTGTTGGGAAACTAAAATTCTGAAATTTATTTTCGAACTATCTTTATATTAATTGGCTTTAAGAGAAGACGGTCCAGAATTTTTTGACACTGTGATAGCTGATGTTCAGTATCGTTTCTTCGAGTTAATGAATTTAGTGAAGAAATATGTAGTATTTTGAGTGAAACAATTAGGTGGAAGTGATGATACGTATATGCGTAAAAATAAATATAAATTATTTAAATATTAAGAATAATATATATTTACTATTATTTATTGGTATTATTATAAATATCCAATTTTCAATGCGACAATATAATATTAATATTCAAAAATGAGAATATGATGTGCACGTGTGGAGGAACAACCTATCTACTCATTTATGAATAATTAGGACTATACACTGAAGGCAGTGATTAATCTGTCAATTTCGTGCTATGTTGTTTCGAAAATATTAGTGAGAAATTTATAGATTCAACATCAGGACAATATGGTTCTTTTGCTATAGTTTCATGTTCTAAACAAAAAGTTTACATAATGCGGTTGCAAAGTGCGTAATTAAAGGTGTGTTGTGTATGTATGTGTGTGTGTGTGTGTGTGTGTGTGTGTGTGAGAGAGAGAGAGAGAGAGAGAGAGAGAGGGACAGACAGACAGACTGACATCGTTATTTTTACAGTATATTTTCTGTGTATTGTGAGGTGTACATAGAATATACAGTGAGCGTGTGGATGTGCGACCAGGCAGTTGAGTGAGTGCGTATTTTGGGTGTTGTCTGTGACGCATCGAGTGGTGGTCAGAAGTATATTATGAGAGTGAAGTGTGTGAAAGTGCTCCTGTAGTTGACTGTTAATGTGTTTTCGTTGTGCATTCAGTTCTTGTATTGAATGTTCGAGCAAGTTCTTCCCTTTGTATGATTTGAATGTGTGTGTGTTAGGGATACGATGTTTTTGTGAAAACGTTGATGTTTTAAACATCGATTATTAAGAAAACGATGTTTTCCAACATCGATATTTTTCGTGCGATGAATGTACGTTTTCGATATTTCGCTTGTGACTAAAAAAGTTCCGTACTCACTATTTTGCGAAAGTTAACATTTGAAACAATAACTGAAGACACACACAAGTCGGGTCTTGTAACCGTACGAAGCGAGCGCTGGTTGTACTCCCATCGATCAGACTATCTCCGCCTCGAGAGATGACCCCGATACCCCGGTATTGTCTACGCCTTTTCTCGTATTGCGCGCATGGAGAAGCGGCCAACGCATGCGCATGCACCAGGGGTACATCCTTCCCGTTCTTACCACATCTTATGACGATTGAGGAAGCTCTGGCCCCTTGAAATTACCCTGAGCGCTCACGAATTGAGGATGAGTTTTGTTAATTGTTGTGGTTTTTAATTTGTTGTGGCAGTTGAATGTGAATAATATATAATTAATGAAAACGGCCATTGTCAAACTAAACCCCTCCCCTCCTCGCGAATATAAATGTTTGAGTTTACTTCACTATTTTTTAAAAACATCAATGGTTTTTGGGCGATGAATTGTTAGTAACATTAATGTTTTAATTCTTTATTAATGTCGATGTCGCATTCCCAGTGTGTGTGTGTGTGTGTGTGTGTGTGTGTGTGTGTAAGCAGTGCAAGTGTGGACTCGCACTCCGAGCGCTGGGGGCCTAATAAAACGCCGCCCCCCCCCCAACACACACGCACACACTCGCTTCCCAGCATTCCTTTCCTCGGCGCGTCAGCTGCCCTACCTGCCCCTGCCGATTTGCTCGGATTCGACGCGCCTGTTCAGGTAGCTCTGCTGCAGGCGGGCGGGCGGGCAGGCGGTTGAATGAGGCGAGCCGCCACCCCCTCCCTCGACCTCTTTCCCATTGTTTTGCTCCTGCACGGCTTGGCTATTGAGCGGCGATAATGCGGACGATTGAAGAAACATTTTTGCTAATTGCAACCTGCAACCATTTAAGAACCTGCATTGCATACTTAGGTAGTCTAAATATTTGAATTTTGTTATAAATATCGTTTAGGGAAACAAAATTTTGCTACTAAACATTATTTTGTTTTCGCACGGCTTGGTGACGGGTAAGCTGCAAACGATTCAAGAACTCTTCGCTCATGCGAATAAGATAATATTTAAGAAAAAGTCTGATAGGATAGATGAAATATTTAATCTTGTAAAAATCATGATTGAGCCACGATGATGCTGGTTATTTATTTTGGTCTCGTTCGCCGTGGCTAATGAGTTTCGATAAAATCAACTATTGAAATATATTTTCTCGCAATTTCAATCTGCAGTTATTTATGAATAAACTCTAACGTAGTCGAACGAGTGTTTTGCTTCGATTCTCGCTCTGGCGAATTGGTGTTCTACTTCGATTTTGGTATCGGATACTGTACATATTATTTGATTGTTTTTAAATTTCCTACGATTACGCTTTCTGTTTGTACTGTAGTAGACCTACGTATATTCAAGGTACTAATATGTATAACAAAACTTTACTCATAAAGTTTCGATAATTCGTAATATATTAAATAAGGTGAATAGTCAATTGTAAAATTTGATATTATTAAAATTTTACAAAATGTAGGAGATCGGAGAAATCAATAGTGTGCAGAGAGTACATTAATTGATTCCATATATATATATATATATATATATATANNNNTATATATATATATATATATATATATATATATATGTGTGTGTGTGTGGAATCCATTATATGGAATATCATTTTTAGTTTACGACACTCTTTACTTCTGGACAAAAGGTAACAAAATATTGAGTATTAAAAAGGAACTTGTCTAGAATGAAATGTATTACACTCCCCTCTCCTTGCGACTGAACATATTTCTTGCGCATTAAAGTAGGCGCGAGGCGGAGTGGGAAATACTCCTCCGGCGAGTTCTTTGCCTCGCCCGCTCCGTCACCGCGCGCACGCTGCCAGTCGCAGGGGTTGACGTGTTCCGGCGTAATTGAACGAATAATCCTCGTTGCTCCCGTCCCGTCCCGGCGCGAAAGCCGGGCGTCGCGTTACTAATTCGACGCCTTCTGGGAGGGAGCTTTTGTCGGTTGTCGCTCGCTGTCGAGGTGTTTCCATCACGGGAGCAGCTGGCGGAGACGTGAGTCGCAGGGCACGCCCTTCGCCTGGCGATGGTTTCGTCTCCTTTTGACGTTGCGCTTTTCCTCCGGCGAACTAGTAATTAAACGCAAAGGATTTTGAGCGTCTTAAACAACTCAGACACCCTGAAATATGTTGGTGATTTCCATGATTGGCATGCATATCTCTTCTAAATGTAGGAGACCATTACTATTAATGTGTTTTGTCAGCGATGGGCTCTTACTTGGAGTTTGATATTTTTAGTCCATCCTTTGATGAAATTTTGGCCAATAGCAACTCGCCGCATTGGGTTGTGGATCCGTATCCCAGGACTGGAATCTGTGGATTTCAGATATTATTTATTTCGCAGCGTATAAAACTGTAATCCGAACCACTGTACCTCATAAGAACGAAGATCTACAAGCTTGTTTTCAGTATTCGTTTCTTTAATATGAGTATTTCGGTATATTAAATTTCTCTGAAATTTTCTAGGGCGATTTGATTACCAGTTTTCAATAAATTAAACGAGGAAACAAAAGTTTCTATTCACGAGTAAAATAGTATATGTTAGGCGTGGCAGTATACAGTCACTAATTTATCACTTCGCACGGGAGGGAGGGGGGACTTTGTTGATTGTCATTTGCTGTAGACGACGTTGCGGCAGGATTGAATTGAGCGCAACTTGTGCTAGTGGGGACTACTTCTTCATTGACATGCTTTTGTCCGACAAATTAATAAGTCGTTGTAATATATTTTAGTAAAGTAGGAAATTGGATGCAAAGGTTTCCACAGACTTATAAATAGAGGGTAAATTTCCGAGTCGCAGCTAACGATTTCTAGAGAGTACTTGTGAAAAGGGAATCGACAAAAATAAAATTCACTCGTGACTTATCTTCAATGTAAATCATATTCTTATCTTTGAATGTTAACAGTTTATAATCGATCATCATGCGACACATTCTACAGTCCTTCTCCGTCATTCTCGATCATTTGCATCTCGAACTAAATGTTCCAGCGCTTGATTGGTCTTCTCTTTTATTTTCTGCGGGTATCGTCTTGGCCTGTCGCGTGATCTTTGGCATTTCATTTAACCCTGATCAAGCGTCTTCTCCAAATGGTTCTCCTGTAATCGGCATGTATGTCTATAAATTCCAATAAT